CCTCCACATGAGTCTATGGTCATTAGCAGGGACAGAGGATCAGGACACAGAAGACCATACTGGGCCTAACCTGTTGGACTGTGTATTTCTTGCTGTAATTTGCTGACAGCAACAGAACACCGATGCCTGGAAGGTGAATCAAAAGCCCAGTTGGGAAAGTAGAATGGACAGGGTCAGATGAAATCACTGGCTGTGCTAAAGAACTCAGCAGCATCCTGACTACTGGGCAGCACAGTCCCAGATCCAGACAGCTTCACAGCTCACCTGAGCACCAGCCCCTCACCTCATACTTTTCATTCTGAGTCATCTCAACTGCACTCTCATTTTTATATCTACATGGATACACAAATACCCACTCCTGTCTTCTATGTGCCAAGTCCACAGTTGACACTGGTGAAGATTTGTTGATTTGGTAAGGTGCCCCCATTGAAACAAGGTGAATACATATTTTACGTGACCACCCCTCTCGGAATTGCCCTCATGACCCGAGAACACACCTTGCTTCTGCCTTCTCCCTCAACTCACACAACCTCCTCTACTGCTACGCAGGAGCCATGGCAGGCCAGCATGGGTGGTGGTTTCCACTTTGCTCCAGCCCATGCAGTCACACATTCTGGAACTTTTAATGTGTAATTGGCAGAGTAGTGCCATGACCCCTGCACTTCCTTCCCTCTAAGTAGGGCATCCAGTGCCCCTAGTCTCCCCATGTTTACTTTGTCCACTTGACCTGAGTGTCATGGAGAAGAGAAAAGGGTGGCCAGAGTTGAAGAATGCCTTTCACCCTGTATTTATTGAAGAGGAGTCAGGACGACAAGTTATCCCTCCTGAAGAGGACCCGCACTGAACAGCACTCCCACGGGGAGTCCACATGGCTTATGTCATGAGCAGCCCTCCAAGAGCAGCTTAGAGTAGTACCACCAAGAGTTCACTATGGACTTGCTCATCTTCAGAGTTCACATCTGCAAAATCCTCCTCTGGGCAAATCAAAGACGTGACTAGAGACTGTACTCCTAACCCAGAGAGCAGCAAGGCCCTTTTGCTATGTCACCTGCCTCGTCTAGTGAGGAAGCCTGGGGTGAGAGATTAGTTTTATCATGTCTGTATCAAGTGATGTGGGAGCCACTGAACTTGCAGGACGTTGATCCTAGAGAGCTAGAGAGTAGGGAGCAGCTTGGCATAGACACAGACACCCAAGGAGAGAGAACGGGAGAGGAATTCCAAGTGGCCGTGTGCCAATGGGTGGCTGTGTCCACATCCCTAGCTGACAGTAATCAGAAAATGCCCCCATGTCTGCGGTGGAAGGAGGGAAGGGTTCCATCCTTCTCAGGTCAGCTAGGACCCTGAGGAGTGAGGGAAGACTGAAAGAGCCTGAGTTCAGTTTTCTTCTGACATTCCCGAGGCAGTTCTATGAAGGCCAGTCACTCCGGAATGGCTTCCTGCCAAAGAATCACTCTGAAGCACTCAGAAACCCTGAAAGAAAGATCACAGAATACTGGTGATGAACATGGAAACTGGAGAATACCACAAAGTTCCACAGGACTTAAATGCACAGTGAGTTCCTCAGATAAGCTGCCAGCCTCCAGATGGGCCTCTGGGCCATTGGAGGAGACAGTGGCACTGGACACCAAAGACCACCCTGGGCCTGACCTGTTTCCTTGTGTATGTCCTAGCTATAAGTTGCTGATCAGGTTGGAGACGAGCCATGTGAAGGCTGCATGTCCAGTGCCCACACTTCACCAGCACAGCCAGGCACCTTCAAGAAACTATGTTGCTGCTGCTACTTTGTGGCCTCCAAGGCATGTTGGGCCACAGCGTGGGGACAAGAGAAACCCCTGAACCACTCATAATCAAGGGACAAAGCCTTAGTCCAGCCTCATACAGATGGGACAGTAACAGGATCTTCCACGTTAAACCCCAAACTCCTGGATGAAAGAGGGATACAGAGATTTCCAAGAGGGCAGAAGGCCAGAACAAGTGCTTGAGATGGGCCAAGGAGAAGCGAAGAAAAATGTCTGCTGACTCAGAGAATACCCAGCACCTAGCACTGACCCCTCCTCTGGAAGAACACTGGTCTGAGGCAGCATGAAGACCTTGACCACCATGGCAGGGACATCGCTGCTCCAATGAGAAGACAGCAGAAACACTGCTACTTGTAAGGACCAGACATAGCTCTACTTTGACAGTCACCTTTGGAGATCTTTACCATGAATGCTGTCTCTAAGGTCCCATCTCTTAAAAGCCCAGTGACCTCTTATGCACCCTGTGTCCATTCACGGTTTGCACAGAGCTGAGCCTAGACTATCCCCGAAAAATTGTTACAGGGGCCTGGGAAGTATGCTACATGCCATGCAGCGCTCCAACATATAGATTATTTTCTTTTTTAAATAAAAATCATAGCAAGTGGGGAAAAAAGATAAAAACAGTTAAAGAATGGCAAAATTTCCTATAATTTTATATGTCTACTGTGGCATCAAGAATAATTGATTGTGTTGAATACAATAGGGATTAAATATTTTGAATGTATTTTACTGTCTCTAGTGATTTCTTTCTTTTGTCTTGTGGGGGGCTTTTTGAGAAAGGGCTCTCTGCAATCCCAGGTGGCCTGGAGCTCACTATATAGACCAGGCTAGACTAGATCTCATAGAGATCTGCCAGCTGGGATCAAAGGCTTGTGCTAATACATTTAGTGCTGGGTTCTGTAGTGGTATCTTAAAGAGAGGCTGTGTACTAAATCACAAGGGATAAAAGAATCTGTTTAAATGCAAAGGAGAAGGAAAGATAAAATGGCATTACCTCTTTAAGCAATTGATTTCAAATACAAAGCTAATTTCATGATTTTAGCTACTTTGGCAGTGCAAGAGACTGAGAAGCATCTGTAAGTGAGAAAACAAATTAACAGGAAAGTTGTGTGGTTGTGATTTTGGCTAGCTCTGCACTGTGTTTTTCTAATTTTGTAACAGTGATAGAGAATGCTTCTACCACAGGACAGTACAGGATGGGTACAACACTATGTATTTATGCTTGGGAACCAGGAAGATTCAAAGCAAAGGAAAGAGAATAAACTTTTAAAAACAACAGAAAAAAATGTTTACTAATGAATTCAAGGCAGTCTTCCCCACTAAAAATGTTCAACAAATATATAAAAACAAACATTTAGTGCTAATTTATATAAATTACCCCACATTTGAATGAAAACTAAATACAGAGATGCTAACAACCATAATCATGTACTAAAATTGGCAACCCATAATAATTCACAGACAAGGCTGCTTCCATTTTCGGCTTCTTGTGAAAATGCAATTAAGGGGCAAAAAGATTTTCCCTCATCTACCAGGGTACACAACAATTATGTACATATTTTTTAAATTGACTCACATATTGCTGATGTGTATAATTGAGAAAAAAACCTACAATGCTTATGCACATGTTGTGAAAAGATTGCGCCTTTCATAATTAATGAGGCTGTGGTGAAAAGACACGAAAAATAAAAGTCTAAGTCCTCACAGCAAAATCAAGATGGAGGATATTTCCCAGGTAAAAATATTCTTAAACTACAAATAATCCTCAATATTGATAAATAATCAGCAAAAAGAAATAATTATTTCTTGACATCAGGTTGATTTATGCTCCCTGTACACTCTAAAAGGTTATTCTGGTCTGTGATATTTTTGATAAGTCAAATTGGTTTTTTTGAAGCAAATAATGATAGCATGTATTATCAATATATGCTTTAATATATACATCAAATATGTATCTCAATGAAACAAAACATTGATAATTTTCTGTTACCTTTGAATTATCATTTTACCACTTGTCCAATTTTGAAATTTATACATTTATTACCCTTTTTTTTTTTTTGGTCTTTTAGAGACAGGGTCTCCCTGTAGCCCCAGCTGCCCTGGAACTCACTATGTAGACCAGGCTGGCCTTGAACTCACAGAGAGCCGCCTGCCTCTGCCTCCAGAGTGCTGGGATTAAAGGCGTATGCCACCATGACCAGCTTATTTTTACAGGCAAAAAGAATCATAAAACGTCAAATTTTTGTCAAAATTAGATTAAACTTATTTTCTGATTACTAAATGTGATGAACTCATTGTTTAATGAATAAATCAGTCACTACAAAAGCTTAACTGCTAAGTATAAAAATATATCCCAGTTTATAATTTACAATCAATGATTTTAGTAGAAGAAAACTCACTTGGGAATCAAAATAAACATTGGATTAATATTTCAAAAGCAAAATGCAATATCTTCCTCATTTCACATTTATGTTTTAAGCAATATCTACTTCTTACTAATAACACATTTTATTAACATACATATAATAAATGCCCAGTACAAAGTCTATTTAAGTAAGGTAAGCTGCATTTTTAAATCTTGATCTAAGCATCTGAAAAGTGACCAGTTTCTATGTTCATGAGTGAGTTCACACAGAAATCAAGTGACTATGTGACTGAATACTGGCTCATAATACAGACTCATATCAAATACTGTCAAGGTAATAATTATGAAAACACTATAAAAGTGTACATTTAAAAATGTACATTTCTGGGAAAAATGGTAATCAAATATAAAACTAAAATGATTGCAAACTGAAAATATATGAACAGGACAGAATGTTTTATGCATGAAAAAGCATGAATGGTCCAGTAGTCTACGGCACTGGGCTTTCTGCATCAATAATGCCCAGGACTTTCAGATATATCTCCACTACAGAAAAGATTCACTGCACATTTCATGTGTTTTACTGCTGCAATCAAAAACTTTTGCTGAAATGTCTAAATTCACAGCAAAAGAGAAATTCATAAATACATATTGCTTAAATCCAACTTCAAAATTTAATGAATGATATCATCAGAATTTGAGCATTTGGAAAAAGAACATTTAAAATACCATCTGTGAACCTGAAGTTTCTATACAACTATAAAACGACAAAAGGCACAACTATTTTATCTCATCATTTTTTGACATTACAAACATGAAATAAATACAGGAATTACCTTAAACCACCAGCATATTCTTGTTTTTCAAATATGGTGATGTTGGAGTAGCCTAATCGAGCCAAGAAAGAAGCACAACTTATACTGGCAGGCCCAGCCCCCAAAAGAGCAATTTTCGCAGAATAGGCGTCTGGCATGTTTTCTGGGGGAGGCAGAAAAGGGCTTCTAATCTGTGGGATATTCATTGCTTTGAACACCTAAGGAGAAATCAAGTTACATCATTAAAAATTTAAGTTCAATTTTATATCCTAAAAAGTTTTAAAAATTTCTTTAAAACTTTATCATTTTATGTTTATGGGTGTTTTTCCTGTATGTATGTAAGCACACTCCTGTCATGAAATGCCTGAAGAGGCCGGAAGAGGGCATCAGATACCCTGGAACTGAAATTAGGGATGGTTGTTAGGCACCATGTAGAAGCTGGAAGCAGAACCTGGGTCCTCTGCAAGAGGAGCCATTGCTCTGAACCACTGAGCCATCTCTTTAACCCTCTCAAACACATTTTTAATGTTGCAATTCATAATCAGTGTTTTAGTTAGCAAGAAAGTTACATTTCCCATAAATATGACATAAACTTAGAAGTTGTACTTTGGGATTTCCCCTGCAGCCTGAGTAGCTCCACTCTCTTCCCAAACTCTGCTGTCCTTCTAGCCTTGGGCCCAGGCTGCCTCCTTCTCTTTCCCCACATCTCTGAACTACCCTCTTAGTCTAGACCCACCCACTACATCTACTACATCCTGAACCCCTGTACTCAGAATCCCTCCATTCTCCAAGTTAGTTTGTTAGACTTTCCACACACAATTCCCACCCTTTTCCCCAGTGTTCTGATCTGCCTGTCACAGATCTGCCTAGAACTCTGGTAAATCAGATCTCTAGTAAATCACATCCTACCCACTGAGTCTTGACTACCCTGCAGCCTGAATAGCTGCAGTCTCTCTCCAAACTCTATTCCTCTTCTAGTCTTGGACATAGGCTGGCTCTTCTGCCCTGCTCTCTCGACGAACTTCCTAACCCAGACAAGCTTCATCTTCTAATGTAGTGTTAGACCCTCCACAGGCTATCTCCACCCCACCTTGCCCTTAGCCTCCTTATTTACCTGCCTCAGACCTGCCTACCACCCTGACAAGTATACTGTATACTGCTCATCAAAGAAGCTTCTTTCTGCAACAGATAGAGGCTATGACAGAGTTCCACAACTGATCACATAACAGAAAATATATTTCAGAGAGATGCCTAGGCCTAAGTGACACATCTATAGCGTGCCTCTACACCTAAGGGTCATGGACATAGCAGAATAGAGGGTTTAGAGAATAGCAATACACCCCTCAAGTCTCACCAGCAAAGCTTCCTTGTACAGCAGTGTGTGATGCACATAGAAGAGCACAACTGGCTAATTTTTAGAGAATAAGAGACTGCAGCGTACGTGTCCCTGGATAGGACTGCTATATTAAAACTCACCCACTCACGACTCAGGGACTACTGTGGAAAAGGGGGTAGAAAGATTATAAGAGCCAGGGCTGGTGCAAGAACATAAGGAAAAAGAGGCTTCCAGACCACGGGGAACTTGCTCGTATGATCTTGCAACAATGGTGACAGCATCACAAGACCCATACCGACATAATCAGACAAAAACTTAGCCTAAAATGAGGGAAATGGGCAGCAGAGCCAAACCCCAACTGAAGAACTATTGGAAACCGATTACTGCTGGGTGAGAGAAAGTAATCTTTTTTTAAGGGAATGACTCTAGGTAGGTTAACTTGACCCAGTGGATGAACTTGCATCAAGGGACAACTGGGTACAAATGCTTGACCAAATATGCCTTAATGTATATGACAGAATGCATGAAATCTGGTGGGGGATTATGAGGGGATGATAAAGTGGAAGGGATGTAAATTTGATTAGGATTATTGTATGAAATGCACTAAAACTCAATAAAATACTTTTTTGAAAAATCTTTAAAAAGTTGTATTTTTTTCAAATAGCTCCTGACTGTGGCTAACTACTGGCAATCTCTGCAAGGCATTAAAAAAATATTTTGTAGTTTATCTCACTCACCTTCTTTACTTCTACCACTAAGTGAAGTAGAGTGTTCATCCTCGGATCTCCTATAGCATAATTTGCATACATCTAATATAATCACTTACTAAAGTTTCTACATGTTGGGTTCCCATGTCACTAAATGGAATGCTTTTTCTCTGAGTTAGAAAATAGATCCTATTTAAGTATATAAATTACCATGGACTACAAGCAGGCAACACTAATATGGCATGTAAAATCCCCGGAGAATTAATTAGTGTAATTTCTTTATATTTACTACGAGTGATGGTGAATTCACTTTCAAGGCATTAGAAATCCACTGAAGGACGCAAGCCTTTGAGCTGCCAAGCTCTAGAGAAAAAAAAAATAGCTCAGAGGTAACAGTCAAGAAGTCACCTTTTCCGTAAATGCACTTGTCACTTCTCAGTAGAAAAAGAAAGACCAGGAAACTTGAAGAGGACCAGAGCTGAGGAGAACCAGCAAGAGAGAGTTTGGCAATCCTGTAGAACAGGAGGGATATAATATTTGGGATGAAAATACCTGGGGCAAAAGAAAGTGCAGTGCATCATCAGCTTAATTCCTAAGCTACAGAGACACTGCCATGGTGCAAACGGGACCTCTGGAGTGCCAAGGGTGTCTCCTCTGCACTCCGATGACCCAAAGGAAATAAAAACTCAAATGCAGGGTAGCTACGGTTGAAAAAGTCTTAGCAAACATCGTGTTGAAGTCTAAAGGCCTTCACTCTAAGCCGGAACCAAGGAGAGACAATTAATGCCACCTGAGTGGCATAGACTGAAATTCAAGTTATGTCTTTAATCCACCTTTCTTATTTGTTTACACAGTAGAGTGAACATTCTGTGGAAGGTAGCAATCAACCAGAGGATTTACATTTTTATGTATAATGTCTTGCATACAGATTGCTAAGAAAAGAATACAAATATAGAAAGCAACATGTACATAATCTATTGATTAAAGTTGGTAATCTCCAGAGAACTCTGATCAAAGGATTACCAATACAAGAACTTGAGCTCCCAGGAAACAGAAATTTGTTAAAACATAAAAGAAAATTTAGGAAAGTGAATGACATTAAAATCTCATGCATTTAATACCAGACTGCATTAAAAAAAAAAAAAAAACAGAAAAAAGGAAAAAAGAAATTTAATAGTGAATTGGGAGATTCTGGAGCATTGAAATGCGGTCAAAGCATGAAAAGCAAATGGGAAAGTAAACAGAAAAAGGCAAAAGAGACAAAGAGGAAAGAGATGCAGCCTTTGTGTAATTGGACTTCTCAGCACAGAAGGGAAGGAGTGCAAGACAGCAGCAGGAGCTGAATAGAACAGGCTGGAATTGCTCCAGACTGACAGGCCCCTTGCACGAAGTTTAACAACTTAAACAAGGGAAACACCAACAAAACCGCCCTTATTAATATCTCAGTCAAATTACTAAAAAGAAAAGTAATTTTAAAAAAAAGAATTAAAGCAACCAAGGAACAAAGAAAAAATGTCATTGAGCAGAAAGGATACCAGCTTCCTCTCAAAAATAAAAATAAAAAAGGGACAGAAGCCAGAGTAGTATGAAACGATAGTTTTGGGCAAGTAGAAAATCCTTATTCCAAAATTCTATTAGGAAAGAAAATGTCACTCAAATATGAAGGTGCAATAAAAACTTTTTTTTTTTTCCTGTAGCCCCCAGTCAGCCTGGAACTGGCAGATAAGACTGGTCTTGAACTCACAGAGATCCGCCTGCCTTTGCCTCCCAAGTGCTGGGATTAAAAGCTTGCACCACCACTCCAGGGAGTAAAAATATTTTCTGGTAGCTGATGTTGTCAATATTGAAAGAAATGCTAAAGAATAGTTTAGAAAATGTTTGGAAAGGGAGGGACAGCCAATTTTCGTCTGGGATGAGCCCTGTGATGGTTGCCGGTGCCTGAGTGTTCAGTCTTATACTCGTGACTCATGTGCATATGGGCAACACTAATTATGAAAAGGCCATGAATTTGAAAAAGGATACAGGGGCAGGCACAGGAGGAGTTGAATGGGAGGAGAGAAAGGTGAGTATGATGAAATACATGATACTCATGAAATTCTCAAAAAGGAACAATCAAATATTCTTCAAGGAAAACACCAGTTGTAGAAAGTAATAATGTCTGTTATGTGGGAGTTTATAAAACAATTAAAATGCATAACAGCCTAGGTAGGCTAAATAGTTGACATTAATCATCAAAATCCTATCAATGAAGTTGTCAAAGTATTAACATACAACACAGTGATAAGTTCAGAGCACATTTCGTACATCTGTGGTAACTACTCAGCCGCAACTGAGGAACATGTTAAGATCTGTCCCCAGTATCCTTAGATTCTCCATGACTTTTATCATGAAGGTACGTTGAATTTTTTCAAAGGCCTTTACTACATCAAGTGAGATAATTCTATGATTTCTGTCCTTGATGCTATTCATGAGGTAGATTATATTTGTAGGCTTACATATGCTGAATCATCCCTGATGGAGTGATACCAACTTGATCATAGGTGATAATCTTTTTGGTGTTCTCTTGAATTCAGTTTCAAAGTATTTTATTGAGAATGTTTTCATCTATGCTTATTAGAGAGATTAACCAACAATTTTCTTTTTCGTAAGGACTTTGTGCAGTTTTGGTATCAGAGGACTACTGGCTTCTTAGAAATTATTTATAAATGCTCCTTCCTTTTCAATTTTATGAAATACTTTCAGGGGTATTGGTATGAATTCTTTTGTAAAGTTCTGTTAGACTTCTACACTGAATACAGATGGCCCTGAACTCTTTTTCTTGTGAGATTTTTAATTACTGCTTCTATATCCTCAATGGTTGTTATGGGTCTATTGGAATTATTTCATCTTGATTTAATGTTGTTAGGCCATGCATATCTAGAAATTCATTTCTTTTAGATTTTTTTTTCAGTTTAGTAGAATACAGATTTTTAAAGTACTCCTTTATGATTTTCTGAATTTCCTCAGGGTCTGTACTAATGTTTATCTTTTTATCTCTGATATTATTAATTTGAATATTCCTCTCTCTTTTGGTTAATATGAATAAAGATTTGTTAATCTTGATAATCTTTTCAAAGAATTAATTCTTTGTTTCATTACTTCATGTTTTTTATTAATTTTAGTCCTTGTTTTGTTT